ATGTCGTCCTCATCAACCCCCGAAGAGAGTTCCCTTGCTACTGAGTCGGCGGAAGCGTCCTCCTCAAAACCCGCCGTTATAGAGGAAACTAAAACAAAGGAGACTTCCACCAAAGACTCTGCCGAAGGCTCCAAGGACGGAACGAATGATGCTGAGGAGGAAACCGACGAGGCTGAGACTGAGGCCGCAACACTAGCGGAAGGCGCATCGACCGCACCTCCCGCTCAAACGGCCTGGCAGGCCATATTCTCCGCTCAACATGGTGCCTATTATTTCTACAACTCCGAGACGCAGGAAACGACGTGGGTGAATCCACTGGAGCCTCCTCCGGCCGACGCAACTCCGTCCGGTTCGGCACCTGCCACTGCTGCCGACGTGACCGACTCCCAGGCGGGCTCGTCGAGCACAGATGCCGGTCCATCTCATCTCCCGCGATACGCTGCACTGCAGAATGCCGCCATGGCGCAGGGCATCGACCCGTCCCTCGCGTACCTCGACCCCTCACTGCTGGCGGACCCGGGCGACAAGTCTGGGATGAGTTTCCAAGCCAAATTCAATGCGAGGACGGGGCAGTTCTCCGCGATGGATTCGCGCACTCCAGCGCACCTTTCCGAGTACGAACGCGCTCAACGAATGAGCGAGGTGTTCTTCGATGTGAAAGCTTGGGAGCAGAGTTGGAATAAGGACACTGAGGAGGAGGATGGCGTGGGCAAGAAGAGGAAGCGGCCCACCAAAAAGGACTTGGTGAGTTCTGATCCCATTCTACCTCATGACTGCATCCTCAATCCTCAATCCCCTACAGGAGCGGTTCAAGGAGCAGAAGAGGTTGAAGAAGATTGCCAAGACAGCTTGGCTACGAACATAAGCGTTCGATGATGTATGTACAACAACATGGAGCTACAAATCGTCGCCCTGCGGAATGAAAGCCAGTTTCTTCGGTCTCGATACAAGGATTGCCGTCCCCAGACTGTCCATCTGGAGTTGGGAAGCACCAGACATTGTGATACCCTCGACCAACACTTCCTCTAGTTCGAACGCATGGCGAACGGGGATTATTGTAGCGGCCGGCTCCTCATTGAGGTTGGCGACTAAGACCAAACTTTCTTCGTCCACGGTCCAGATCCCCATATCCACACGATTGATCACTTGATTGGTAAAAACGGCGCGAGGATTAAAGATAAACGTCGAAACTCGGCGAGATGACAAGACAGTGGCGAGTGCAGCCGCGGAATGCTTGACATCTGCAGGGGTGGGGTCGATCCAGGGCATGATCCCTGCTCCGGCGATTCACCAAGGAAAGTCAATCTGAAGAGAAGCATGTGCATACCTCGTGCTCCGTGATTGATCGACACGATGGCCTGCACCAGAAACTCGCGGCCTGTGGGCGGTCTTGTCCAGAATCTAAGTACATAGTAATTGAGTTGCGCCAAGCGATACCCCATATACAGCACGCGACGTACTCAGATGCGCCGAAAGCCTGGGGCACGGCCCACAAGGTCTTCTGACGATTCAAACCCAGGGCCTGCAGTCGAAACCCCAAGTCATCCAGTCTGCGAGCGACATCATCGAGTCGTCCCTCGCAATTGTCGCAGCCACAACAGCCGAAATCGGATGTGCACGTGGTGTTGTATTTGGCGGAGAAGGAGGTGTTCACGGCGACGGGATATGTGTCTGGCATGATCACATCGGCTCCCAGAACGTACTCAGAAAAAGCGTAGTCGGCGCAGTTCAATGCCAAGGAAACAGGATGGTATGGATCAAGCGTTTTAATAGCGGCGTAGGCATCGATGGGCTCGGAGGGAGGAGTGCTGGTGCCGTCCGGCTCATCGGCCGTGTACCAGAGGAGCAGGTTGGGCCGATGTTTGATGGCATTGACTTGGGCGGTCGGATCGCGATAGGTGCTGCGAGCGGTCAGTTGGTACTGTGTGAATTCTGGCCGAGTCAATCAAACGCACTGCCTCATGTCGTACACCAGATAAAGACCCAGAGCCTCCATCCTATCTAGGACACGCTCCAGAGCAGCCAAGTCCCCGAAGGTTGGCACCGGATGGACTATGTTGAACCTGACCGTCGATCAGCTTAAACATCATCTCTCGTGGCGCCAGCTTACACACCCCTGTTGCTTGATTTCATCGAGCAGACTCAAGTTGGAGTCCAGGTAGTTGTCGAACGAGGTGTAAAAGCCAATAGGGAAGATGGTCTCGTAGAGCGCCCCCTTACGAACCAAGAGTGCTCCCGTACGAGAATCTCTCTTCGTGACAGAACCAGAACCGGGGCTCGGCAGGTAAGCCAGCTGAGCAGAGGCGTGGAAATCGGTCTGCGATGCTGTCGCCACACAATCAATCGAGAAGGGCTGCATGCGTGGGCTGGTACCGAGGTTGACGAAAGGGAAAAAAATCTCCACAGATGAGTTCAAGGCCAGGGAGGAGCTGGCAAGGATGGCCCCCTCAAACGATATCGAAACGTTCAGTAGGTCCACCTCGGAGTCGTCGATGGCTTTTGCCCCCACCCATCGCGAGTGAACCAACGTGGCCTCGACTAGAATACCCGCAACGGCGTCCTCTCCGTCGACATATGGTGTTAAAATAGGAGCGCAGCTAAACACAAGCAGTGGTTGTTGTGAGGTTTCGGGAATAGGAAATCGTTGACCAGGCGGTTCGACAGGCTGGCCAGGCAGATAGTTCTTGTTGCACCTGAGCAATTCATTCTCAGAATGAGTTTAAAAGATGTCTAGTTGATTCCGACCAGGTTTGTGCTACAGCCAAGGACCAGAAAAGCGGAAAACAGGTTCGCGTCAACATGACTGGCAGGTACTGCCACCGCTAGCTCTTCCAAGTTCCATCTCCACTTACGACCCCATAGTCAATGTTGTGCGTTTCACTGTGGCACGTCGATGAATGCTGCTCCCATTTCGCCCACTCTCCGAGAGACCTGATCGCAGAATGCTTCGAATGTCTATCACATACACAGTCTGTCTGCCTACTTGGAAACTGTAACCTCATTACATCTCTTCCGAACGGTATCCGTTATCTGTTCCCTTCTCCCCCACTCTCTTCGCCCTCTTCCTGGACGGCCGCGCATTAATTGCTTTCATTGTCTTGTTGCGCTTGATCCCCCGTTTGTGGCCGTTGGCTGGAAGCTGCTCGAAATACAAGCTCGGGGCCATATCGTCGAGCGATGCTTCATCACCGACTTTCGCCTCTTGCACCCTCTTCCTTTTCCTTGTTGCTCCTACAATCAAGTCGTCCTCGTCTTCGGTATCAGTTTCGCCTTCGAGCATCGCAAACAACTCGGCTTTGATGATATCCAACACGGCCGCATACGTCAGAACTGCGCTCTTTCCGGCGGGAGAAAGGACCGCTTCCTTCCACAAGTTCCTCAAACGGTCGAGACACGGCTTCGCCTTGCGAAGCTCTGGGCGGACGCAGTCCAGATAGAGACTCTTCCACTCCCGGTCGTTCATCAACGACTTTTGCTTCTGGCGACCAATGGCGCTCCAATCCGGTCTCGGGTCCCCTGGCCGCTCGATCCACTTGGCTAATCCCGTCTTTTTGAATCTGCCGCGGCAAAGGAAGCATTTCTGGCAAGCGAAGACCTCGCAATCAGAGATGGCGGACCATATGTTGCTCAGGATCCACGACTCGACTTCGTGGCAGACTTGGCGCTCGAACACACAATCGGATTGCGTCGCGATGAGAAGATCGGGGGACAGAAACGCGGCGTTGCCGACGGGCTTTTGGCCTTTCCGCAGTCGTTCTTTGAATCCCAGCCTGCGGGCGAGCCCGAAATTGATCAAGATTCCCTGGGGGAGTCCTTCCAGGCCCAGATCACCCGATCCTTGAATGTGCCTGAGATTGATGTCTCTGTGGAGATAGCCCAACTTCTCGGTTAGGTCTCTGTTGGCTTCACAGCGTCGTCAGCTCTGGGTCGACTGGTCCAACATCGCGTGCACACACCTGTGATTCCGTCACGGAACACCGATAGGAAATGCTGCGCCGATCCAATACCTCCGGCTTGCAGGCTCCTCATGTCACATCTGAGCACGAACCGGCGGTGGAACAGCGGCTCCCATGCTTCGTCTGCACCTGCTTCGTATCCCAAGGACTCTTCCAGGAAATCACGGACGTCTGCCGTAGAATCGCTTTCGCCGTGGATCTTGACCGTCTCGTGTGCAATCAACCGTGGTATGCCCTTGATGCGAAGTCTCTTCGCTTCCCGGAGGATATGTGCTTCGTCGTCGTGCTCGTCGTTGACGACCCAGGAATCGCGCATGAGCAACGGCACGGGCCTGGCCGCGCCGCTGAGGCTGACTTTCTGGTAGGTTGTCTTGGAACCGCCGACAACGACCTCCGACATGAGCGGCATTTCCACATCGAATGCCCTTCCTCCGACTTTCATCGTGCTAGACGGGTAGTTGTGCGGCCCCGCAAGCCAACTCCGCACCACCGACGTGTCGATCCCAGTGTCCGCCAAGTCGAGCGAGAAATGCAGTCCAACGAAGAGACGAACGAAGAGGTCCGGTTGCTCGTGGATGTTGAACGGGGTGGAGATGATGATGCCTCGTGCGTCAAGGACACAGACCTTCAGAAATCCGTTCTCCATGAACTGAACGGCCGTCAGGTAACGCCGCCACGGCTGCACATGCATGAGCCACTCGGCCGTCGCCACCATCTGCTCTGTGATGCGGTCTTGGTTTGCCCAGACGCTGCCCTTGCTGAGGATGCCGTACGATGTGGCCGTGTAGCGGTGCTGTCCTTCCTCCTTTTGGCGGGAGTTCAGCGGGGGCGTGCTGAAAAACTCGACCGGTCCGTTCGGGTTGTAAACTACCCGCTCCCTCGAAATCTTCCCCCAGACACGGCACCAGTAATCCGGGCTCGGGTCTTCCGCTGTCGCTGGGGCCTTGCGGCCTGTCGAGCACATGTATCGCTCGACGCTGTCTGTGACCTGGTTGACCACCCGGGCTATCTGCTCGCCGATCGTCACATCCTGCACTGGCTCGGCCTCGTTGTCGTCTTGCCCTTCCTCATCGGACTCAGAGTCTGAATGTTTGTTGCTCGGGAGATCCTTTGCAGCGAAAGCGGGGTAGTCTCGCCATTGATGGGCCGTCTCGCTGTAGATGCCTTGCAGTATCAGTCTCTCCAGAATCTTCACTGGGCGGATCGGATGGCTTTGGAAACATCGTTTCACCAGGGGCTCCGCAGGGACGTTGTCGATCAGGTGCGCTAGGAGCTGGTCGGCCGTGCGGCGCGACATTCTGTTGACTGTCAGTATGTGTGGCCTTCCCAATGGAATGGAGGAGAGCATACATTCTATGTAGTCGGAGAGAGAGCAGCAGAACAACTAGGACCGCACGTGAGTGCCTTTGTCTTGAGAATGGGTTCAGCACGTGAACGTGCTCCCATTGCATTGTCTTGAGACATTGTTCACCGAATGGGGACAATCTTCCTTTCCGCTTTGGCCCAGCTCAGAATGAATACTATAATTATGTCGTGCGACCGACCTACTGAGCTACGAACTGGCACCCCTGAACCGCAAATGTACCGGTTTGGGGTTGATATTCTTGATCGATAGGTGGCTGTACGTACGCGTTTGATCCATTGATCTACCACTCACGAGTTGCACAAGAAATACTTTTTTTGGAGATTGCGCAGACTGGGAAATGACTACATTTCTAATCGGAAGCTGATACTAACTATATGTTGACGCGGACGCTCTTGCCTGTAGACCAATGCGTCCGGAAGGGCACATTGACAGGAAGGTCCAAGTGAGACGCGTATCGTCACATCACGTGATATTGAGAACCTGAGTGATATCCATGACATGTATTCTCCGACATGCAGCAGACAGATCGTCATCCTTCGTTGCAATAATCCGTCGGATTAGGTGCTTCCCGTAGCTTAAAACATAATACGACTTTGCACGGGAACGAAGAGACTTATCGTTCACCGGATCGGCCGACCATGCTGTTGATCCGATCTTTATCGCGCTCTTACGCTCTTGTTCATCGCAATTTCCCACGAAGCTTGTCACCCCGGACGTCATGGCCATGGATGGATTGACGATGCAGCAACCCCGCCTCACCATGCTGACAATCGCAGGCTCCGACTCCGGCGGCGGAGCGGGCATACAGGTCCCCCCTCCCTTGACCAAATGCTGCCGTTGATTGAGTTTCGAGCTCAGGCCGATCTCCGAACCTTCGCGGCTCTAGGCCACTTTGGAACCAGTGCAGTGACGGCTCTCACTGCTCAGAACACCCTGGGTGTGCAGGGAATCCACGGTGTGCCCGCGCAGTTTGTGGCCCGACAGGTGCGGTTTTCTGCTCTGCCTGGCGAACGTTTTGGACTAAGCAAGGGCGAGTGCAGCTCCAGTCTGTTCTAGACGACATCGATGTGCACGCTATCAAGACAGGCATGCTTTTCAATGCAGAAATAATCGACGCGGTCGCGCACACATTGGGCGCGCACTCGGCTCAGCGCGCGTTGCCCCCACTCGTCTGTGATCCCGTTTGCGTGTCGACCTCAGGCCACAGTCTGCTCGAGCCCCAAGCCGTCAACGTGCTCGTCTCCAAACTGTTCCCTATGACATCAGTGCTCACGCCTAACAAGTCGGAGGCGGAGGTCATCTTATCCCGCTCGATCTCGTCGCTTGCAGATATCGTAGCGGCTGCCACGGACCTCCTGAAGCTCGGGCCACAAGCGGTGCTACTCAAGGGCGGCCACTTTGCCACGACTGCCGTTGACATCGAGTCCCTCGCTCGCGCACAGCCCGAGGTGTCGATGGGCTCCCGGTCTGAGAACATGCGCATCCTCTCGCGGCCAAGCGAAGACAGCCCGCTTGTTGTTGACGTGCTGTGCGAGAAGGACGGTCGGACTACGGTATTTGCACGTCCCCGAATAGACTCTTCCTCGACGCATGGAACGGGATGCACACTCAGTGCAGCGCTCGCGTGTTTTCTGGGATCTGGTGCCACAGGTGTGCATCGGTCGCTCGGCGTCCAGATCTATCTGATTTATTCACCTAGTTCATGAGGCCGTGTCTCGTGCGACTGCGTTCACTCATCTAGGCATTGCCACCGCCTCTGCCATCGGCACCGGATACGGCCCGCTCAACCACCTGCATTCGACACCACGTTTGGTCATTCCACCGTATGTCATCGCCTCAATCCTCATCTCGGGCTCACTCTGGCTTAGCCGCTCAGCTGCAGATCCATTTCCATTGACAAGGATGCTCATTTCTGCGAATCCGAGACACTGGAGCGATTATGTCGAGCACTCGTTTGTGCAACAGCTCGGCGCGGGCAGTCTTCCTCGCGCGGCTTTCCTCCACTTCATCAAGTAGGCGACGGAATGGTTATTTGGTTCCCCGCTGACATGACATGCCCAGACAAGACTATCATTATCTCAAATACTACGCCCGCGCATCCAGGTGAGAAGCCCTGCTCTGTGCGATTTTCCTGATGCGAGTGCATTGCTGCAGTCTGCTTGCCGCCAAGTCCGACTCGTTCCCGGCCATCGACTCTGCGATGCAAACTACGCTGAATGTGCTGCGGGAGATCGACACGCACAAGGCATTCTGCGCTGGTTTCGGGGTCTCCCTAGAAGAGCTCGATGCGACGGAGGAATCCATAGAAACGACTGCTTACGGATGCTATCTGATGGACATCGGGTTGAAAGGTGGCTTACGATGTTCATGCGGTCTTGTGTTCACTCAGTTTGTTTGGTCCAGGGGACACTATGAAACTACTGATCGTGCTGCTGGCATGTCTGCTGGGGTACGGTGAAGTTGGTCTGCGGCTCAAAACTGCAGAATTAGAAGGAAACCCGTATCGTCGATGGATCGAGGATTACTCTGGCCCGCATTATCAGGGAGCTGTCCGCGCTGGACTAGGTCAGTGACGGGCGCTCGAGGATTCTGAAGCTGACACCTGGACAGAACTGATTGAAGAACGCGCTCAAGCCGATCCCCCGTCATCTGCCCGGCTGAAGGAATGGCTGATGGTCTGGGACCAGTGCACTCGCCTCGAGACGGCGTTTTGGGCGATGGGGTTGAACGCTGCCCAGGCGGATCAGTGAGACATCGTCGAATTTTTCATGCTAGAGGCCCCTGTTACCTGTCTTGCGCTTGACCACACCCAAATATGACTCTGTTGACCAACTCGAACGCTGCTCGTGCGGCTTCGGATGCTGCAACCAGAAAGTCGATCCCGTCGGAGAACGCGCCGACCAGTCCATCTCCGAGAGCAGCAGGATTCCGAGAGCTCTCGAGATGCGAGAATCTTCCGGATCCATTAGGTGCCTCGACTGATCCTTCAACTCGTTTGCGCTGACTGGGGCTGATCAGCTTCAATCCCACAGCGGCGTCCAACCGCGATCAGCCGAGATGCCGAACGGAACTCCCCAACATTCTCTGCTCGACGGCGCATAGAATCGCAAAGTCGATGGAGGAGCTGTAGTTCCCAGCCAGCCGCCAGGAGCAACTTGAAGAACAGCATCCTAACACTGTCGGACGACAGTCACAGTCCCATCATCTCCACGCTCGCTCGGCCGAGCGTCGACACGGATTCAAGACGCGTTTCGTTGACGGCGCGCTGCAGACGAGTTCCCTCTATTTCATGGTACCCTCCCGTCGACGTTGAGACTCGCCCCGCGAGCTATTCTCTCAAATTCGGACTGCCCTGTACACTCGAGCCTGAAATGGTCACCATCACCACAACCAAGGACAAGCGGCTGAAGATCGTGGCAGATGATTGGACTCGGGAGGCTGATTGTGAGCATTTGAGAAGGCTCAGCGAAATCAGAACACTGACACACCGCCGTGTAGGCCATTTCGAGTGGGAGATTGAGTTTCCGGCCAAGGACGGTGATTTGCGCAGAATCAGAGCTGTCTTTGATCAATCGGGAACGCTTACAGTAAATATTCTGCGTGTGTAGATAATTTTTGGTGGCCGCCACCCATGACATCTCTTGCATATAGGAGCGCCAGTGACCCTGAGCATCGGGGAAAGTGCGCATCAGTCAGTGATCTGCCAGCAGACTTATCACATGGGCGCGGCAAACGGGCATGTCGCGCCAAGCGGAGTTTGAATTTGGCTCAGCGGGCTTTTGATGGCGGGCATGGGCATGGGCATGGCTTGTGCCCATTTTCTGAGACCAGTTTCTTCCCTGAGCTCTCGTCGTTGATAGCGGCAGCGCTCCCCGTCGTCGATATCGCTTACAGCATAAGGGCACAACATCTGAATATCCGAGATGCTCAGTGGTAAGTCGCCATCGCCGCCACCACCCTCGGACACCACGGAATGCTCCTAGAACTCAGATTTTGCGGCGTTGAGGGCTCTAGTTCGCATAATCAGTATCCCAGTACTCAACCTCACGTTCTCCTTCCTGAAACATGAGCTCAACGTCACCGCCATGACTCCGTCGGACCACGGGCTTGATTAAGACTTGGGAGGTAAAGATCATAACCCCCAAAGATGATTCGTCCATTTAGCAATCCAGTTTCGCTTTATCTTCAAGTCGCTGTCTCTAAGAACCAAGCTCAGAGTGAACGAGGCGAGGGAATCAAGATCGCGCCGCTTTAATGTGATATCATGCGATCAAGGTAGTGGCATGCGCGTTGACAGACAGCCTCAAGATCGCAGAGGATCATCTGCAGTGTGATCTATTACGATTCGATGTTCGCAAAGTCATGGGAAGACATTAGGAAGGTTTGTGCTTAGCAATGAACAAAATATATCTCAATTCATCTCGGGAAATTGGTAAACAGCACGATGGAGAAAGTGTTGACCATTGCACATCGGAAGGATGCAATGAATAAAATAAGAATATGATGAAAAGCCCGATGGCTTGCACGTTATGAGCGACATTACAGGCTTGACACCACGCGATGTCGCATCCAACAATGCTGGGGTCTGTTATGATAGGAACAATTGGTTCCGAGTCCCATATGGAGCTTCCTAAGAGCCTAGGAACAGTCAGTATATATCCTGGACGGCTAAAGACTTGAAGAAAAGCAATTATACTTGGCTGAGCGCATGCCAAAATGTCGGCTTGGCATGCCGACAAACGGGCATGCATGCCTGATCGCATCAATTTCAAGCCAAAACTGTCAAATGCCCATCAAATGCCCGTTTGCGCGGGCCAATGCCAGTTTGGCATGCCCAAAACGTCGGTCTCGATCTGCCAGTAAGGTCGGTCACATGCTCCCTCTCCTCTTGTGTCGCGTCGTTATATCTCTCGGCTACTGGGCTTGCGGACGAACGTCAGGCAGCAAGCGATGAATGTCCTTGTATACTCCGGATCGGAGGTAGTCCAGGCGTCCCTCGACCACACCCTGTCCAGCCTCCGCTCTCTCCTCCTCCCGCACTACTCCGTCCAGCCGATCTCACCCCAATCGCTTCTGTCTCAGCCCTGGCAGCCCAACTGCGCGCTGCTCGTGTTCCCCGGATGCCGCGACATCGTCCTCACCAAATCCGCCTCGAAGATCAACGAATTCGTGAACAAGGGCGGCGCGTTTCTAGGCCTAGGGACCGGGGCGCATCACTCCCTCAAGGGGCTGAATCCCGAGCTATCGGGTGCGGTGCCGTCGAGCGCGACCGCCGATATGATGTTACGTTTCTCCGACATTGCCTCCGGGGCGCACATCTACCCGAGCTTCCAGCCCAGCGGATCGGACACCTCCGCGCGCGCGGTAGCGATCCAGACCTCCGAAGGGGAGCGGATTGATCTGATGTATCAGGGCGGCTCGGGCGAGCTCTTGGGCGCAGAGGGAGAGAAGAAGCCGAAGGTGCGGGTTCTGGCGCGATATCTGGAATCGGATGTGCCGGGCGCTGCCGCAGCGGCTTCTTACGGTGTAGGGGCTGGGACAGTCGTTCTGTGGGCAGCGTCGCCGGAATTTCCTCTGACAGAGGAGCCAGCGTCGTCCGTTGCGCTGGCGTTGTCGCCGTCTCCTGCCACGCTCGACCTCGCCGAGGAACGGCGGCAGCTGGTCATGCGACGTTCTCTGGTTCTGTTGGGTTTGAACCTTCCCGAAACAGGAGAAACCGCCAATCGCCCTATCGCACAATACCTGGTTTCGCATTTCCTGAAACCAGCTATCGTATCCGCTGTCACGAGGGCTTTGGGCGGAGTTGATCTTTTCGAAGACGAGAGCGATCATTTCCAATTGCACTCCTTCGAGACTGCGCAAAATGCGCGCGCGATTGCGGTCGCTCAGTCGAATCCTTCGACCTGGCAGCCGAAACACATCATAGTCTGTGATGGCCAACTGCCAGGCCCCGAGCAGACTCCCTTGTTTGACCTGACACTGTTCTTCAGCTCTCTCTCGGCTGCGAGGAAGAAGGAAGAACTGCAAGACGACCGTGAGCCTTGGTGCTTTGGGGACGCGTTGCTCTATGGGGAAGTCGTCACCAGCACACAGACGATGCTTGATAAGTAAGTCCGTTGGCGGTGGTGGCCTTGCTCCGCGGCAGTGACTCATTGACGAGTCATCCAGGAATCCGCGACTCATGCACTCGCTCCCGGCACCTCTCTTATCGCTCGCATCCCACCAGCTTGCCGGCCGTGGCCGGGGTGCCAACGTGTGGCTCTCTCCGTCGGGATGTCTCCAATTCTCGCTTCTCCTGCGCCTGTCCATGTCTGGGTTCCCCGCACACAAGATTGTCTTCGTGCAATATCTGTTTGCGCTTGCCGTAGTGGAAGCTTGTCGGGACGAGTCTGTGCTCGGTGAGGCCGGCGCGTCTGTCCGCCTCAAGTGGCCGAATGACATCTATCTCGATCTGGATGGGGTGCGGAGGAAGATAGGTGGTATCCTGGTCAACACTAGCTTCAATGGAGGGAATGCGGATCTTGTCATTGGTGTGTGCTAACTGCTCCATTCCATGTTCGCCGTTGACCAGGCGTGCGCGCAGGATGTGGACTCAACGTCCTCAATCCCCCGCCCATCTCGTCTCTATCGGAGATCTGCCCGGACGGGTCATTGAGCATGGAGCGCACCGCCGCCGCGATCTTGGTGAAGTTCGAGCGGATGTGGCATACCTATGTCGCTGGGAAGGGCTCATTCGAGCCATTCATGGATCTGTACCTGCGCCGGTGGATGCATTCGTGCGTGGACCGACTCCCTCGATGCCCTTGACCTGACTTTGCGCAGGGACCAGCTGGTGACGCTGACGACGACCGAGCCGCACCAGCTTGTGCGCATCGTGGGCATCACCCCTGACCACGGTCTGCTGCGGACGCTGCCAGAACGGAGTGGCTGGTCAACGAACCCTGCGTTCGTCGACCTACAGCCTGATGGCAACAGTTTCGATCTCATGGCGGGCATGATCAAGTCGAAGAAGTGAAGTCGTGTAGGACGGAGAGTTGAGAGATAGATGTATGAGTCAAAGCTGTAAAACCACTTTCATTGGATAGTTTGCAAGATTGATAGATGTGGTGGGAGAGGCATGACCCATTACCATCAATACGGAGCCGTAGCGTGTAGTTTCGCGTCCTTCGAGTTTCAGTACACCATTAGTTGTCAGGAGTAGCTACAGTGTGGGGGTAAGATCCAGACATGGACACTGCTCCCACCAGCCTCGAGAGCGTCACGAGCTCTCTCTTTCTCACGTGCCGTGACAGGACGCGTCATTGCACTCTTCAAAATCCAGGACTCGAACAACCATCATTATTCCGAGTGCTTCTCAGCCACGTTGGTGGCATTGGCGATGAAGTAAAATGGTGGTCATGGATGGGCAACTCCAGTCGCTCCAGCCGGAATCGAGGCTTAAAGGAGGCATATGACGTCATTCAATCTCTCTAGCTACCCGCCACCATGCCAAAGGTCAGTATTCCTCCTTGCCTACGGTAAGACAGCCGTCGCTCACAAGCCGCAGGTCACCACTCTCCTCTTCGACTGCGACAACACCCTCGTCCTCTCCGAGGTCCTCGCCTTCGCGGCCTGCGCCGAACTCGCCAACGAGATCCTCGCCGCGCACGGCATCTCCGACCGGTACACCGGCCACGCGCTCTTCACCGAGTTCGTGGGACAGAACTTCCGGGGGATGATGGCCTCGCTGGAGCAGAAATACGCGTTCGAGATCCCGCCGGACGAGTTCGCGGCGTACGTCGCGCGCGAGGAGGACCAGGTCGTGCGCAAGATCAACGCGGCCCTCGAGCCGTGCGTCGGCGCGGATGTGCAGATCGAGCGCCTCGCGCAGAGCGGGCGGTACGAGATGGCGGTGGTGAGCTCGAGCGCGGGGCGCCGCGTTGCGGCGAGCGTAGAGAAAGTGGGGTTCAGCCAGTACTTCCCGCTGGAGAAGATATTCAGCGCGGCGACGAGCTTGGAGAAACCGACGAGCAAACCGGATCCTGCGATCTACTTGCATGCTTGCAAGGTGCTGGGTAAAGAGCCGGCAGAGTGCGTCGCTGTGGAGGACAGCAAGAACGGGACTCTGAGTGCCGTCCGGGCTGGCATCCGGACGATCGGTTATGTCGGCAGCTCAGAGCCAGAGGTGCAGGAAGAGATGAAGATCGTGCTGAAATCAGCCGGGGCCGATCCCGTCATGGTGGACTGGTCGGAATTCCCAACCTTACTGGCTGAAATAGAAGCGTCGTAGAATTTTAGACACCAAATCAAGCTAATGTACAGTGAATGTGATCTCAAGCGCGTTTGAAGGCGTCGAACTAATTCTCATTTGCAGTCATTTCGTCATTTACAGTCATTAAACGTCAAGGAAAGCAGCCCCGGTTCCCCAGACCGCCATCACAAGCGCAATCATCATTATCAGTCCATCGAACAGCCCGCAACGACGTTCGATCGACACTTTCGCGGCAATCGGCCCCAGTATGCAGAGCAGAAAGGCGGAAAACGATCCCAAAAAGGCCACTGTCGAGCCGATTGAGTACTCTGTTGGACTGGTGATAGCAAAGTACTCACTGGCAGCGCTGAATTCTGGAACGTAGATCGACACGACCACAGATGCCAAGGTCACCACGACCCGCTGCAGGACCCACAAAGTGTTTTTCAGGGATACCCGCGTCCCTTGGGGCGGCGCTGCGAGTTTCGCCGCGAGATCTTCCGGCGCTGTCAGCGGACGGTCGAGTCCGAGCAGAATACCGATCGCCGTGTTCAAGGGCTGGGTGTTGAGGGCGAATTTCGACAGCGGGCTGACAACGAGCATCCACAGAGCAGCCTGGTTCAGGACCACGTTGTACCCCGGGGTGGCGAGGAGGTCCATGCTGATCTGTTTGATGCATGATGAGCGAGGAAGGCACAGATAAGACGCGGCGGAGAACCGACCTCTTCGCTGACCGAGTTGCCGAACATCCGGTAACCAGCCCATGCGATCAGTGTGTAGATAGACGTCGCAACAAGCTGGAGCCACAGGTGAGGACAAGCGCGCCAACACGCCGGGATGGTCCACATACGAAAGCCCAGTTGATCATCTTGTCGAACTCGCTCGGGTCCATCATGTCTCGAGCAAGGGAGGGGATGACGGCATGGCCGGAGAACTAGAGAAGGCCCGTCAGATGATAACTCTGGATAGTCCGACAACCGACCGACCCCGGCCATGAACAACCCAAACGCAACTCCCAAACGACTGTAGTTGTCGATGCCGAATGATGTGTCAGCGGGCTCCCAGAGACTGCCCGGTGCCTCCGCCTTGGTAACGCCGTCGAGGAAAACCACAATGACCAGCAGAACACTGGACAGAATCCCGAAAATAGAAGTATAAGATAATAAAGATAGCGGCAAGAACACGGTTGGGATGAGACTCGAATAGAGATGTCAGTGGGAGGGAGAAACAGGATGCAGGAAAACGACGTACAGGAAAACCCCCCATAGCTTATAAGTGTTGGAGGAATACCGGGGTATCAACGAATTCAACGAGTCGGCGTACAGTGTTACCAGAATGACACTAACAGGCGCGCGTGAGATGGATCCGGAAGTGCAAGGGGCGAACAGCACACCTAACAGCGAACAGCTCCAGACAAAAGAGGATACTAATGAAAACGGTGGACTTTGGCCCAAAGGCCTTGCGACCGATGTCGGCGTACGACCGGAGTCGCGGATCGGAGAGAATAATTCTCGCGAGAATCTTTGCCCTGTCCGACCATCAGGATATCGCAGGTTATAGGCCTGGGGAAGAGACCCACGTATAGCAGCTGATGAAGCCGTAGAACACAACGAGCACGGTGCCCATCCCCCATCCGGCGTACGCAAAAGCTAAAGGCTCCGAGAGCATGCCAATGCCGAGAAGGATCGCGATAGAATTGAACAGCTGCGGAGCACATTAGCTCCGCGGCAGGCACAGAAGGAGCTTAGGAACGCACAGTCTGCCCGAAAGTGCTCTGTCCGGCGTATACTTGAACCTTGTTCCCGGCTCCCGACGCAGCTGACGACCGGCGGCGTAGCGCGGCGGGGTGGCCGGGAACGTCTTCGCGCCCCATCCCCGGCACGGTGAGAAGCCCGCTGTTGACCGCATCAGACTTGCGGCGGGGTTGCGGTAGGTCGGCCGTGAACGATATTTTCTTCTGCAGCAGGGGACTGCGTTCGTTGGTCCTCGGCGTCGGGGAAGGCAGGCGGCGTGTGAATGTGAGGTTGGGCCGCGAGAGGATGGGGGTTCCCACCGGCTCCGGCGGCGGCTGCTCCTCCCAGTCGAACAGGGCGTCGTCGTCCGGGCCTGCTGGGCGAGGTGTGGCCTCGCCGTCTCCCTCGTCTCCCTCCAGGAACGCGTCGTCGTCTTCAACGTCGGCGAAGCCCAGTGCGCTTTCCTCGTCAGTAGCGAATGGGTCGGAGTCGGAGGAGACCGAGGCAGTCGAACCGGCGACAAGATACTGAGCACGCCGGTCTATCTGTGCGTTAGAACGATGCGTGTACATTTGGGAAATGCCACATACACGACGCGATAGCATCGCGGACGCTCTGGCCACTCGTCGCAGACCCAAACTGGAAGCTGGAGGGAAGACTCGTCATGGTAGCGACCAGAGGGATTTGGGCTAGCGAGGGTGACACTCCACCAAATCACCGGAAGATAGGCAGATAAGGAATCTGTCAGGCGTCCGAGGTGCTTCCAACTGCAAGGGCCCACCACCCGTTTGAAGATGGCAGTTTTCTCTTCGCCGGGTGACCGATTTGTGGGCTCATGCGCGCCATTAGCATTTCGTCGGATCTCGGAAGGTGAGGGCAGAGGGCAAGATCCGTTAGTGCGGACACTCCGCAATATGCGCGCTGCCATTTCGGGAACGCAGACGCGACACGTCCCCGCACGCCTAGACCAGTCAGGGAGATAGCTGGGATGTATTTACTACGAAGAGTACGGGATTCAAGCAACCCCCCGTGGATTCGCCCTCCAGCGTATATGTACGCCCACAGTGCACAGATCATGGCAGACCGCGCACAGCTTTGGTGCTTGGGTCCCAACTCAACTGCTTTTGCCCGACCTTCTGTGGATTCCTCAGGCAGCTAGACGTCGTATTGGGTGGTTTCTTGTTCCTGGAGCTATAGGTGCGAACCCATTGTACTTCGGCCAAATCCCCATCCCTCTGACGACTGATTCTCGTTCGACAGACTATCGTTCGAGCCACTGCTTCCATTCGTATAGACATTGCTACTGTTTCGACAGTTGCTGCTGGATACGGACTTCTCAAGTATTTCCATTGGATGCAGCATTCGAACGTCGAATGTTCCCGCTCTGACATGGCTTCGCTTCGGTCCACACCTTGTGCACAACTGTGACTGCGGCGCTCACCTGCAAAACCACCTCCCCTGCCAGACGAGAGCACTTATCGCTAGATTTCAAGATTCACACTAGGCAACTGTGCTGACCACCCGTTCCAGAGCTTCGCCCCGGTCATCTTCCTCGCACGCGGCCCGTCTTTTCTATATCTCATCAAGCGGGGGACGGATCACCTGCATGGCACGAATACACGATACTGTCATAATCTGATTAATTTTGCTCTCGCAGGCCCAGGTGAGCCCTCCTGGTTGCGGCGTCCTTGTCGCGGCTGCAGTTGGCTGCTTGCTGCCAAGTCTGACTGGCTCCCTTTCATCGTGGGACTCAGGTAACGCTGGTTACTCTGGATGGTTCGACAGGCCCAACACAATCTGTGCTAGTCTCGGATTTTATCGCGCAGTGATAGCTGCGTGGCTTGTTCTAGCGGTCACTGTATTTTCACGTGACGTGACAAAGCGCGCCTCCAAACCGATTTCCGAGACTAGATCCCAAGTCTTGAACTACTTGACTTGCACTTCGACTAATTGGCATCTTCAGCCATCGAAGCTACGAAAAATTATGGATTCCATGTCGCTCCCGTTTCATCGTATCTAAAGTCTAGACAGTCACACCTTATCATTGGATCGCGCCAGGCCTCCAATTCATGTCTACACAATGGGGTCTGAAAGTCCGACTAGAAGCTCCAGTGCCAGCATTCGATAGCCATTCATACGCTCAGCTCACATCTCTCACAGAATACACTCCAGTCCACAACCCTTCGGAAGAAACCCCCCATACCCAGTTTGATGCCATTGGAACAAGAATTGCCGGTCAGAACAGGGAAGCTTCAGTAAACTGCTCAGATATTTGGCGATGGTATAAAGTGCATAAGGAAGAAGAACCAATTGCCCATCCCACTTCGCGACAGTCGAAAATCAGTCGGTTTTCGATGCGATCATATGGAGAACCTCCTGCCTGGTTGACACTTTCCTCTTTTGGACACCCGCGTTTCGACGCTGCGAGCGGCTGAGCGGGAGACTTGGACTGGACAGGAATAAGCAGAGGAACGTCTGGCGAAAATCGAGCGACAGGATAAGAAGCACGATAACCACCTATTACCCGTCGGTGTCAAGCGCCTCACGCATGCAGAATAAGGATAATTACGTCACTCGGATCATACGACTGTCCCGGACCGCGCGGGTACCACCCCAATCTCAACCAGTTACCACTACCATGAGGCTCCTGTTACCCCTGCTCTCCCTGAGCACCGCGCTTGCATTCCCGACTGGAGATCAGGTCGTCTTGAACTTGGGAACGGCGTCTGCATCCTCAGGGGAAGCCTACCATGCGGCGAACCTGTGGCTCGACGATACCAAGAAGGCCATCCTCGAAGGCAAGAAGAACATGGAGAAGTGGTTTCACGCTGGGAAAGAGTTCATCAAGCAGAACGGAATGTTGTGTGCGTAGCTGGTCCTCCTCCGTTGCGGGCCTCCGATGATCTAACGCGCGTGCAGATGAACTCGTCTCACACCCGTCGCTGGCCGAGCACCAGCTCCGAGTGACGGAACCGGATCTATGTGATTCTTCCGTGAAGCAGTACTCTGGGTATGTCCGTTCTCTTGATATTTTGCTTGTTAGGAGACTCACCATTGGGTTTAGATACCTAGACATCGCAGAGGACAAACACTTGTTCTTCTGGTCTGTGTGGTCGTGAACGTATTTCGGTCCGCATTCTCAGATTATACAGGTTCTTCGAGTCGCGTAACTCTCCCTCGACGGATCCGCTCGTTTTGTGGCTCAACGGAGGCCCGGGTAGGCTGGTCTCCCCTAAGATCCTGCTCACGTAAAGCTGACCGCAATTCCAGGCTGCAGCTCCTCCACCGGAATGCTTTTCGAGCTGGGTCCCTGCTCGATCGCTAGTAGCTCAAACACGACGTTCAACAAGCACAGTTGGACGGAGAGCGCCAATGTGATCGTGAGTATATTCACGACTGGGATCCCCCGGTGTCAGTATCTCAACCGATCCACGCTAGTTCCTTGACCAACCTGTCAATGTCGGGTTCTCGTACGCTGATGACTCAACGTCGGTCAACACCAGTCCGGTCGCCGGCCAGGATGTCTACGCCTTCCTCGAACTCTTTGTCACTCGCTACCCCAAGTACTCCAAGCTTCCGTTGCACATCAGCGGTGAAAGCTACGCAGGCACTTATGTATGCCAGCTCCGCTCTGAAAGGCCTTCCCGGAGAACTTATCGGACCTGCAGCTGCCGCATATTGCCAGTGCCATCTGGGAAGGAAACAAGCACGTCGCTCCTGGTTTGCTGAAGCTCAACTTTGAGTCGATTCTGATTGGCAACGGATTGACAAACCCGTGAGCCCCGTTGCCTTGGATCCGACGCAGCGATTGACCGATGATCGCAGCTCTGTGCAATTCGGAACTGTGGCCGACTATGCTTGCAATGGGCCCTACCCCGTCTTTGACGAACCTGAAGGCGCCCAGTGCACTGCGCTGCGCACCAAGATCCCAACCTGTCAGCGATTGCTAGCGAATTGCGAACGATTCAACAGCAGATTCGTCTGCGCTCCGGCGTTGTTGTACTGCAACTCCCAGATCATGGGTCCCCCGATGCGTACGCACGACCTGCGACTGCACCGTGCTTATTCTCACCGGGCATCGCTCTAGAAACGGGTGTGAACCAATACGACGTGCGCCGCCAGTGCAATCCGGAAAAGAACGGGAAGCTCTGCTACGAAGAAATGGTCTGGGTTGAGTCATGGATGAACCAGCCGAAGGTCAAGGCGAACCTCGGTGTCGACCCGGCGCTCGAGTTCCAGAGCTGCAACATGGATGTTCTGCAGTCTTTCACGTTCCAAGGCGACGGCGCGCACAACAGCGCCCCGTTGTTGACTGAGCTCATCAACGGTGGTGTGCGGCTGTTGATCTATGCCGGCAACGCAGGTGCGCGCTTTCGACCCCCACTTCAGTCTCAGCCACGAACACGAGCGCTCCAGATCTGGCGTGCAACTTCATCGGCAATGAGCGCTGGCTCGAAGTGCTCGACTCGGATTTCCTGAAGGAGTTCGGTGCGGCTAAGCCCGCTCCGTGGGTCACCGCCGATTCAAGCAAGCTTGCTGGGTCTGTTCGCAGCGCCGGAGGGAAGGGCTCCACCGCCGGCAATGTGACTTTTGTTACAGTTTTCGAGGCCGGGTCCGTCGCCCTCTTTCATCTCCTGTTCTGATCGCATGGCTGACTCCGTCGACAGTCACATGGTTCCTTTCGACCAACCGGAAGCTGCCTTGGTGAGTGCCACGCATGTATGAGGTGGCTGTCGCTCATCAATACGCAGGATATGTTCACTCGCTGGATCACTAACGTCCCTCTGTCTTGAGTTATACATAAGGACTTATTTATCACTTCTCGCATTGTCATCTCAACACTGTGCAGTGTACTATACTACTCTCAATGAACGTTCCAAATATATGTGAAGCATCAGCGAGAAGGCATCCAAATCCTAGTGTTCATCGAAGCAGGTCGTTTCGGACATGGTTTGGCCTGCTCTTACCAGTGACGTACGTGATTCCTTGAAATCACAACGAACGTGCGACTCCATGCACTTGAGTTACCTCTAAGAACCTTTCTCAAGGCCTGCCATGTTCTCAAACCATCGCACTACCGCAGCAACCTTTCGCACTGAAGCATCGCTGGCACCCAATCGCAAGTCCGGCCGGAGACGTTGGTCTTGCGGGGTATATGGCATGGTCCTATAGCATATCTGCATCTTCGGCTTCTGCCACGGAGATGCGGTGAGGGTGACGGTCGTCCCCGGCTCGAACGCGGCCAGCACATCTGAGGACATTGGTCAGGATCAGCGAGTAAAGCACAACCGAAAGGCTGTCATGTACCAGTAAGCAGTAGTATGTCGCCGCGTTTGCAGCCGATTTCATCTCCCATCCCACCCCAGTCGTGCGCGACATCCCGCCAGGCAGTCAGCTTGCACATGTTTCCGTCTTCATCCCCCAGGATCATCTTGAGAACCGAACATTCTTGGCCCGCGTCCTTGCCTTTCTTCAGATATATCGTGTCGGGCCCGTCGACTTCAAGCGCGGCAAGGAGCAGCGTGACCTTCTTCGTACCCTTGGCTGTGCTCCTTGTAAGTGCAGCTAGCGACGAGAGCGTGTGCATTGAAAAGTGGAAATTAGGAAACCGGGCGATCGAGGATGCGTCGGAGTAGTTGAATGTCTGGCTCTCTTGCGTCTCTAGCTGAGTATCATACCGTGTGCTGTCGCCGCCCTGCGGCCGCGCCATGGATTTGGAAACTTCCAGAAAGGACGGGATCGGCTGTGCGTCGTGAGATTCCTGGGTCCCGCCATCTCCCTCGGCGGTGGGGGGCCAAGTGAAGAACGTCTTCTGTTCCTCTGATTCTTTCCTCTCAATCGTGTTCGACGAGCTAAGCGGTAGCTGTTTTCACCTTCGTCCATCGTTCCCTCATCCTCGTCATCTCGGAAGATCACGTTTTGATACATGAGCGATATTCGCCGACTCGCGGCTTCGAGAGTAGCTGGAGGAAAGGGAACAAAGTCGAGGTCTCTTTCGAGTGCTCCAGATTTTACCGTGCGCCAATGGTATTCGTTGACATCACGGTCCAGCTCTGACGCTTTGGGAGCACCCAAGAACACGAGCGTCGTCATGAAAGGGATACGAGCTCGTGACCGCGTTCCTCCCTGTCACAAGATCCACCTCGTCCGTACTCCCACCCTCTCAACCGATTGCAGCGTTACTTCGCTTCCGAGTAGCCTCGTGCCGAGCCGAAAGCCCATCCGCATGCCAACCTCATAATGAACTCCACCAATGACCCACCGCCGCCTGCCGTGGACAAGGGGAAACGCCGGGCTGAAGAGCCCACCGAGCGCACCCCACTCTTAGGCTCAAACTCCTCGACACCTGCCGACGAAGAACCACCCCCCGCGGCCGTGCGGAGACGGCTCATCTCCAAGCTCACCCGCGTCTTCCTGCTCTCCCTCCTCGCGTGCATCGTGCTCTGCGCGGGCTTCGTCCTCCTCGCCTGGTCCTATGCCTCCCGTGCCTCCCATGTGTCCGGCGACGACATCCTCGACGAAGGCATGACGCTCCTGGGCCCAGACCGGGTGGACGTGCTCAATGTCAGCCTGAGCGGAGGGCTCTGGGTGCGGGTCGAGGGCCGCATGGGGTTCGACGCGGGGTCCGTCATTGGCGTGAATCCGTCGCCGGACGACGACAACATCTTGCGCGCGTGGTGGAAGGCGATTGGGAGGTGGGGTGTCGGCCGCCTCGATCGTGTGTCGGTGAACATGAGCACTATCTCGATCGTCTCGCAGAGGGACCCGTCCCTCGTGCTAGCCACGATCGACTCACCCCCCGTCGTCGTTCCTTTGACGACGGACCCGCCGCCCGACATGACTTGGCTGACGAGAGTCGCTCTTCCGCTGTTTATACGTCCCTCGCTCAATGCTTCCGCCTTGGTTGACTTCTTGCGGCAATCTTGGAAGGACGGCACGGTGGCTGTTCGGGCCGATGTCGGGGCTGTAGATGTACATGGAGGAGCTTTGCAAGAATCGTCGTGGAGAAGCATCCTTCAGAAGCAACTCTCCAATCTGGAAACTTCCCTGACAATACCCAGTGCGTCTCCGCCTCCAACTTTCTTTTTCCGCTGTGATTGACCAGCACGCAGTCCCGGCTCTTCCAGGGCTTCCACATCCGGGTAACCCGTTGTCACTTTCCGAGCTGATCACGCTGCAATCTTTCAGCGTCTCTTCGTCGCCGCAAACGCTTGATTTGACTGCATGCGCCACAGTGATCGACCCAGCGCCGATGACCTTCAATATGACATCTCCATCGCTACCGTTTATCATCTCCCTTCCCGCTGCAGAGCCTGCTCCTATCGCCTCAGTCCAGACCGCGCCTTTCACTCTCACTCATCCGAACATCACATTAAGCATATCAGGCACAGTACTACCCATCTCCGCCGAATCTACGCCCCTGCTGTCCTCATTTCTGACCCGCTACCTCTCCGGTCTCCCAAACCCGATTGTCGCATCCACCGGTCTGATCCCCGGTCTGACTTTCGACCTCGACTTCCCAGCACCGAATCCGCGACCGCAAATACTGCGTGATGTGACAATCCACGATATGTCTATCAAGCCAGGCAGTCCCGCGTTCACTGCGAGTGGGACCGTTTACGCGAAGATCGTGCTGCCCAAGGGCATGGACGTCGGCCTGCACGTGAGCAAGGTCCTGCCGGATGTGTTCGTGTTCGATGGCGAGGTCCCCGACGATGTCAATTTGACGTTGCCCGATCCGTTGCCGGAGCACGCCTTTGGGCGTATCCGACCGGAAGATTGGCTTCCAGCTCAGAGCGGGCCCGTTCCTCCAGCTGACGGCGAAGGGGCTGCTTTCGCTGTCACAGCGAAGATCGTCGACGTTCCGTTGGAGGTGCTTCCCGGACGCCAGAAGGAGTTCAGCAATTTCGTTTCCAAGGTCTGTGGGCGCATATTCTTGTCGATGTTGATTCTCTGACTGACGTCTCCTGTAAGGTGATTTTTGGATCGGGAGGTGCTGTCGCTGGTCTGCTTGGCTCTGCCGCTGTTGGAGTCGAAGTTTCGGGACTGCCGTTTCCCGGGGATCGAGGCATGGAACTGGACGGTCTTCCGTTCCGTGGCAGTGTTCCAGTTGGCAAGAAGAGTTTTCTTCTGCCAGAGAGCGCCATATCTGATTGATTGATATGTATCTGTACCAATTTCACGTCTTTGCTTCTGTTGTCGGACTTGGCTTGGCTTTCGGATAACACAGGCATGGAGGAGGAAGATATCACCGAAAAAGCACCTCCTTGTTGGACCATGTTGCTTGTTCTGGCTCATCAGAACCGTCACAAATCTGCATCATAGACTTTCTATTGTACACATGCTCAACCCTCGGCCGGGCGCGGCGGATTGACCAGGATGGTCCCCTTCGACAGGGAGGTTAGTGCAGTCTTTGTGGATCCCGAAACTGATTCGATTGTTGAGTGTTCTGGTGGCCCGGCCGAATCGTTTCGTAGCCAGAACAACTCGAATCTGTTCAACATGCAAGATACGGAGGGATTATATCAATGGCTGATCCAACTCCAATCCGAATGCACTTTTGTAACTGTAAATTGTTGTATGTGATTGTGTTTGACCCGGACCTTTGTAAGATCCAAGCCAAAGATCTACGTGCACTCACTCTTTGCATGCCAACATTCGACTGCAGGCACTCATGTACATCACTGATCCGTGCTGCAGCGAGTACTGTGAGTAAATTCACAGTATCACGCTCAATCCAGTCGAAAATCCTGGGGCAGCGAAAGCAGGCTGTGGCCGTTGTCGCGAAAGCTTCCATTAGTGTATCAGCGAAAGTCCCTGTGGTAATGTACTGTAACGACCTGCCAACATATAGACTACCATTTAAAAAGATGTTTTCGAGCATAGTGCAGGACGCGAATAATGTCCTGCGAGATGCACAGGGGAATGACGATGGCCATGACAGGAAGAGCCACGATCCAGAAGCTGTTTGATGATATCTGAGCGAATCTGGTCTGCACAGGAAACGGATGAACGCACAAGAGATCCGAGTGTCCAGCCAGACTCCACATAACCTTGAAATTCATACCAAAGTACCCCGTGAGCAAAGTGAGCGGGAGGAAGATGATGGTCGCCAGTGTCAGTCGGCGCATGACTTCGTTCATTTCGTACGACGCCATCTGTTCCGTGTTAGTTGAGCATGTCCAGCCAGAGAATGTAGTTGCCACTGACATTGAAGGTATATCCAATCAGATTCTCCCCGATACCCGCGAACATCTCCAGACTGGTGAGGATGTACTCCATGTGGTCATGCACATCCGCGAGATAGATCTTGCTCTTGTGGCTCATGAATCCCTTCACCTTTTCTCCACCAGGAGTAATTTCTGTGACCAATGCGGCCGCCCGCTCGTCGTCGTATCGCCGAAGCCCATAGATCACAGTCTTGATCGGCTCCAGTGTTCGTTTATGCAGAATCAAGTCTCCGGAGAGGATGTGTAGGTTGCGCACCGTCGACATCTTGGGCTTGAGCAGGATCTCACGCTCAAACTTGCGGATTTTGACATGGTAGGCGTCAATGACCTCGAGACCCTTATCGACAATCAAGTCCACCAGACCCTGCACCAGCAACGACGAATCGGCCGACGAACGAAGCCCCGTATCGCGCTGCCGCAGCCGGCGCGTGATCGGGAGTGTCAGATCGACGGAAGGTGCGGAGTGCATCGAGATAACCGTGCCGTCGCGGAATAGGAACACGAACATAGGCGAAACTTTGACGTTGACGCGCTCGGTGCCGCCTTTGAGCGCCCGCAGTGCCGCTTCTTCTGATGTGCGCTGTTCTGCGTTGTCGTGGCGGATAGCGGATAGGTTCGACAGACGCGATTTAGGGCTGGTCAAGTGCGTGTCTTTTCGGGACGTCGGTAGCAACGGGTTGCGCTTGCGCGATCGACGCCGCATGGAGGGGTTGCGTAGCGTGGGAGCGTCGGGTCCGAAGTCGCCTTTGCCCAGCTCTTTCATCTCCAGTTCGTCGTCAGCGTCCGTGAATGGGATCGGAGAATCGGAGCGCGGTAAGTCCGTCAGCGTCGAGCCCTGCGCAGCAGAGGCCGACGACGACGGCGAAGAGTCGTCCACCAGTTCATGACAGAGGATCCGCAAAAATAAGTGTTTGACCTGTCGTCACATCGGTTGGGAATCCAGGTGCCGAATAACGGACACATACATAGTAATCCGCCTTGGACCGTGTCTGGCTCCTCGTCACGAAAACGTCCTCCAGCGCCAGTGGATGCAGTTCTACAACGACTATGAGTGCCCCAAATTCGTCGCTCCCGTCGCACCCCACTCACCATACCGCTCCGCGAGCGCCTTGACGACGTCCCAGCTAATCCCCCCAATATTGATCCACCGCACTTTAACCCACGACTCCCGCGCACACGCCCCGTCGTCCGCCATATACCGCACAAACTCGCGATTCGTCATCCGGCCAAACGAGGTGCGCGCGACCGAGTAGTCGACCACTTCGATAACGCAGTCCTCCTGGATGTGCCCGTACTGGGCCTGCGCCGAGGCGCGGCGTGGGTCGATACCGGGCTCCGCGCCGACCGAGCGGTGCTGGTGCTGGTTCTGGTGGTGGAACTGCGACACGGGCGAGCCGGGGCTGAGCACGGACGTCGAGCGATGCATGGCGATCACTTTGCGTGCGATGCCGCGGAAGCGGTCGAGAGGCGCCGGAGGCGGGGCAGAGGAGCTGAAGCCCGTGCCGTGTTTTCCGAGGCGGGACGACGACGAGGAGATGTCGTATTTCGGTGACGCGGGCTCTCCTTCGATCTCGAGGTCGGGGGTCAGTGAGCGACCGTCATCGCTGAAGCTGTTTTCCCGCGGCATCTTGGCCTACAGAGCCGTGTGGTGCGTAGTACGGTACACGGTGGGGGTATATGTAAGCGAGAGGGGTGGAAAGAGTGGCCGGGCGACAGGCAGAACAGCGTGGAGAAGGAGTGTGGGATGCATTGCGAGGGGGAAACGTTGTGATGGATATCACCGCATCAATTATCGACTGATCGGACAGCGAGCGCCCTTTAGCGGTGCCAGCGCCCCGGCTAGCGCATTGTGAGGCATGTGTAGTCTACAGCGAATTATAAGCCCAAAACCAACACTTTATACGATCGGTAGTTGCACATATGAAGTTCGGTCTGGTTGCGATAAGCTCAAGCATGAATTTCTTTGGCAATGTAGACTTGGGAGATCTCGAGAATCCCAGGAGATACATCACTCGCAGTAAAACCTTCAGGCGAAGCAAGCCTTTATAGTAGCCTTTTCATTTGTAGCAGTGGCTATCAAGTTGCACGCTGGATAATGCTCTGATTCTGGAAACGGTCACGTGGCACTTGCCACTCTTGAAATGATAAATCTGTGAGTTACATTAGTGGTCATAGCACCACTTGGTTGATATATCCAGGTACAGTGCGCCACTGTCTCGCCTCGACCTCAAAGTTCATGTGCGGACAGTGGTGGAAATGATTGAGGGCAAGCTGCTGGATCGTTTGGACTACAACGCTGCGCCTTTTGTTTCTTGCTGAGACAGGGTCACCATGAGATTGAATGCGAGAACGTCCCACATCACGAATTACGTTTCTCTGACATTCTATCCGTTTCCGCCACCCTGAAGTGTCGCGTTGCCAACCCGGCAACGCGTCCTCATGTCAAGTGTGCAGGTGTGTCCCACTGTTCTCGGCGCGCGGTGTCTGGGACGAAGCTTGCTGACAGACACTCTCAAATCTACTGTTATTTCTCCATGATCCGGGTCTCTTACTTCCAGAAACTTCAAGCATTGAAAGTGGAACCAAGAGAGACTCCAGACTCGAGATCTCATGTCGGACGTTGGGGGCGCAATAGTCGTGGGCACAGCCACTGATGAAAACAAAGCATGCACTTCGCGACCTCGTGACTTTCTCGTGACCGGTGTGTTGTCGCATCCGCGCTCGTCTGGCTTCCCATGAGAACTGGAAGCGGGCACAGTGCCTCGCATGAACCACAGGGAGCTTACTCCGAGCTGTGTCTGAGTTCGGCCGATCACATCCCTGCTCGTGTGCTGAGACTCAACCAAAACTGATCCGCTGAAGCGTCGCTACATTCTCTGCGCTCCTTTACCTTGACTATAAATACGGGAAATCCGTGCGCAAAGAGAGCAGGTCTTCCAGTAGCACTGCTACAGACCCCGCCTTTTTTCCCTCCTTTGAATAATCGTTCCTCATCTGATCGGTGTGTCTTGCTTCGACTGTGGCACTCGCACGCCGGTTACGCCTCGGTCCGACTCTGCAAAGCGAACGGGTGGAAACTTGCTCCCAGTACCTGCCCCAACTGCAGATCTCGGACGACTCCTTACTCTCAAGACGCGATTGAAACCGTTCTGGACGTGTGTTTCCGCTTCCTTCACCGCCCAAGTACCATCAGCGACTAACCCTAACTCCCCAGGTTACGAAGCTTTTTCCGTTTTGGCCGACTGGACACGCCTTCTTCGACCACGGATTCAAATCGACTTGGGTTCTGGGGGATGCGCACACGCGCTCACACAATCTGCGTTGGCCCTTTGTTCCGGGAATGGCGCGCCCCGGTTCACTGGACTCTCGCGGGGCGGGTGTTCGCCGTTGCGCAAAACAAACGGGTCTAGCGAGCCCTGACTGGCTGGGGAGATGAGCACCCCGGCGGTCCGTGTCTACATGCATCTGCATGCGCTCAATGTGGGTTCAGGGGCAGTCGCTGGCGCGGGCTTTGTCACCCCGCGTCAGCGGCTGTCTGCTCCGGCTACAACAATGCGAATCGAGCGTGCACGCATTACTTGGGTTCTGGGGGAGCTGTCGGGGCGGGCCTGCCACCCTGCACCGACAACTAATCGATTTGCGAGGGTGCACGCATTTCAACCTTTCTTTTCCCGGAGGAGAGCACATTCCCTTGTCGTGGGCTCCGGGCTTAGTGCATCTGCAACGCAGATGCCAACTAAACATGTGCTGAATTTGGTGTTGTGTGGGTTTAGCTTTGGACTCGAGAGCGTTTCCACCTCTGCAGTCGTGTGGGCGACAATTAAAGATCCCGCCGTGGACGCCTGTCACTCATATTATGGATGAGGCTCAAAACTTCAGCTTTGGCTCAGCACTACATAGACCAACCATGCGACAAGTCTACTTATTGGAATGTACAACAGATCATACTACTACACAGCTCAGGTTCTAAAGATACAATCCCTCACACACATCGCCACGCCGGACCTTCCCAAACACTCTTCATCGGATATCTGCAGTGCAACCGCGTCCTCTGGTAGTCCTCGCTGGTGCCAATGATCGTCTCCGGAGGCATGCCGCCCTCCACCCAGTCCACCATCGCCAGGACGATATGGTGCGAGCTCTTGTTGCGTTCTGATCCCGGCGCGGAGCCTCCAATCTGCCCAAAGTGCGACGTGCTGACGGGCGGGCCACCGGTGCAATGATCCATCCCCGGGATCAGGAACAGCCGATAGAAAGAGTCCATCCCGTTGGAGGTCAGCCCGAGAGTCTTTGCGATGTGGTTATACATCCGCTTCGAGTTGCCAGACGGGATTTGCTGGACAAATGTCATCAACAGGCATGTTGACGAGGTCACCGAAGACTTACTGCATCCATCCGTCCGTGGTATGTGATAAGCTTCCCTCCCCGATCTCGGAACGCCGAGAGATCCCCGTCGTAGGCAGCGACCCCTCCCGGGTTGACGAGTTCCATCTGTCGCAGCTGCTCAGGTCCATACTCCGTAAAGTCGAATTCCGTCTCATTGAGCACCGTAAACTTGAGCCAGTCGCCGGGGTAGAGCGGGAAGTCCGTCTGCGAATCGAGCAAGGGGATTCCCTGAGACATGGTCTCTGCTCCCGGGTCGAAGCGCGGAAAAGTGTAGACACCGTCGACGTAGACAGGCGAGTAGATCTTCTTGAGCGCGTCGATCTGGGCTCGAGACAGACACTTGGAGGTCGTGCGTCTGGAACACGAGAGTGCACTCGGATCAAAGACGCAGTCGTCGGGCTCTGTGATCACCCCGTCCCGCACGCCGTCTAGATGGTCGCACTGCCGCATCACCTCTTCCGAGACAGCCACCCACTCCTCCGTAGAGATGGCCGCGGGGGAATCGGCGTCGGGAATCCCAACCGCCCGCGCCATCATTCCCGTCCAGTACAGCAGCCGGTTGAAATCCGTCGCGGGCGCACCCGCCAGGATCCCATCAAAGTCCGCGGGGTATTTGATCGCGCTCTGCAGGCCCTGCCGCCCGCCCATCGAGCACCCGATCCAGTACGACTTGGCGTGCGGCCGCCCGTAGTACGCGCGCACGATCTGTTTCCCGACCACCGTCTGCACGTGCACCGCGCGGTGCCCGAAGTCGATCGTCGTCTCGGGCTGGTTCCAAAACGGGGCGGCGAAGTTCCCGTCGTGGCCCGCGTTGGAGCCCACGGTCGCGAAATGCATGGACGATCCGTACGTGAGGTCGATGAACGGGATACCTGCGGGGTTATTACTAGTATTAGACGCGCCAAGGACGCGCACAAGAAGCAGCTCACATCCTCCCAGGCCACCGTTTCCGACACCCAGCACTCGCCCGTACCACGTCTCAGGCAACCACGCCTCGCCCTTGACTTCCGACCCCTCGCGGCTCGTCGAGATCGCGAATTGCACGCGGCAGAGCGGGGTCTCCGCCCACGAGCCCAGCTCGCCGCACGCGCCGACCGTGCTGACAGTGTCCCCCGGCTGGAGGAAGTCAGATCCGAGGATGGTGGTGTTCTCGATGCGCAGCGTATTCTTCAGCGCTCTGCATCTTGCTTTGGGGTCTGGGATGGCGTTGGGCAGCAGCTCGTCGGTAGGCGTGCTGTCGAGATAGAGACTGCGCGCCGTCTCAATGCCGATGAGAAGTTGGAGAGCACCCAGGAACATGGTAAGTACATAGGGCTCGAGAGTCGATGGTCAGAGGGGCGATCGGAATGATCGGAACGACTCTCTGAACTGGCGAGTATATGACATGATTTCCTTCAGTGAGAAATGCGTGTGTCTGCTCTGAAACTCGTCTGGTTGGCTTGATTCGGCCGAGTTGGATGAGCGTTCGCTGAAGGGTAAGAACAAAGCATGTTTGATTGCGCATCACAAAACTTGCCTTGCGCGGACTGGGTTTAGTGGAGATCTGATTCGCCGTATCAGATATATAGCTCTCAGTACTCGCCGAAAATTCCCACCATATTAACATTACGTATGTGCGAGCGCACCAAGACGATGCTACCGCGAAATCCTATATGTATACTTACAACCATAAAATACGAACGCGAAAAGTCCTGTGTTATTCCCTTCCATTCTCCTCACATTGTACCCCATTGGCCTTGCTGCTGGGGATAGCCCATCGGAGGTGCAGCACCCATCCATTGCTGCTGCTGTTGCTGCTGCTGTGGTTGGAACGGCTGCTGCATCCCACCAGCGTTGAACGGCTGCGGGGACGATCCCATGGGCATGAACTGACCAGGCTGGAATGGAGCAGCAGCAGCCGGTTGTTGCTGCATGAACGACGTGGGCTGCATCTGCAGGTGCGGGCTCGGCGATCCGAACTGATTCGGCGCCAGCATCTGGGGGCCGCCGAAGCCCGGCGTTGGAGTAAGCGACGGCGCCGGGGCAGGTGACTGGTACCCCATCGGGGCACCCGGGTTCTGAGCCTGCTGCGGAATGGGCGACGGGGTGGTACCCATACCAAACATCGGCTGCTGGGATGGGAATGCCTGGGGCTGCGGATTGAATAGCGGGGTGGACGCCTGCATTTGAGGTGCGAGCGTCGGCTGACCTCCGAAGGAGGGTGTGAATTGGGACATGGACGGTGCGAACTGCTGGACGGGTGCAAATGGCTGAGCAGATGGCGCAAACTGCGGAACTGCCGCTGTGTATTGCGGTGTGAACGAGTTCATGGGCATGCTTAAACCCGTGTTCATGGTCATCTGTGGTTGATATCCTGTCGGAGGCGGGGCCTGGAGCGATGGCTGGTACTGAAGCGGCAGGGATGATCCTGAACTCGACCCTTGCAGCGATATCAAGTCATTCCATACGCCTCCCGCAGGCGGTTGCTGCTGCATAGGTGCAGCCTGCATCATTTGCGGCGTGGATTGCTGCACGGGAGCAGACGATAGAGGCTGGGAGAACGAACGTGCTGGTGGCAACATCGGAGCGGTCGTCGTCGGCGCAGCCGTGTTGGCACGAGCGGGGGGTGCCGGTGCGCTAGATGCAGATGTGTTGTTGGCGGGGGCGGGCTTCGCTGAACGAGGAGCGACAGAGGAGGCAGAGCGCGAGGGACCTAGTTTCGACGCGACAAAAGCAGACCGGTCCACGTAGCTCTTGTATTCGTATTTAGCTGAAGTGGTGTCAACGGCGGACGGGGGCAAGACGAAGCTCACCACTTACATCGGATATATTGCTCCATTTCACTGTCGCGTTCCCCATCCATGAGATTCGGCGGCGGTGGATGTCGAGTCTCGTTGGGATTGTACTGCTGATTCGACTTGATGTTGCCGTTCTGCCTCATCACCTGGGCACGATGAGCAAGCGTTCATGTACGAATGACTTCAGCTGACCTCCAACTGCTCTTTCGTCCACGAATCCATCGTGACGCTCTTTCTACGAACCCAGGGTCAGAGGATTGTATGAAGGAACTCACGTATGCACGCACACTTTGGTGACATGAGTCCCGATCTTTCGATGCACGCTCGCGCAGTTCACACTGGCACCAAATGAGCCTGGAACCAAAGCTACAATCGGTCATACCATATGAATATCCCCAGGTTGTGAGATGCCCATCGCGGATTCTTCACCTTGCAGTCGGCGCAGACATCTGCGAGCGCGTTATGTCAGCCGGTTACGTCGACACGCGAATTTGAACTAGCCATTGCCCGGTTGCGCTGCTAGTTCGAGTAGAATTTTCTGGTTCCGTTCGGCAGTAATCTTATTGAGAGCCATGCTTGGCCCGCGGGCATAGAGGGTGTGAGAGCGAAGTTCTGTGGGGGTGACATCGGCTCGCGAGCCGACCAAGGCCGACACGCCGACGCGTCAAATATGTGATTTGACCGGGATGCCGCGATACCAAGTCTACCAGGCGCATTTTTGTACATCACAGTCTCTACTTGCAGTGTCCTGCATAGATGGTAATACAAATCGATATATAACGATTCAACACCTCTGGTGCTTTTCTGCGAACTCGACATAGGTATACCATGCGCCGCCAGCCAGGGTCAACGCGATGCCGAACGCATTCAGCCATGTAATCGTAAGATTGAAGAGCAGAACGGCAAAGACGATGGTCAGCACTTGCTTGACGTTCGCTGCAATACTTGCTCAGTGAATCGAATGTGTCATCATAGAGCCCCACATACCAGCGACAGTCATTCCAACGGCACCGACACGTCGATTGGCACTGAAGCTGACCACGTTGAGACCAAAAGCTAAGCACCCGTTCAGGAGCAGCGCGATCAGCTTCAGCGGCGAAAGAGAGTAGTTCACTACTTGAGAGAGCTCGCCGGTGACTTGCGCGAGACAAAGACACTGGACGCAGGCGATGGGAGATAACAGGTAGATCAGATCTAGTGGGCTGGTGAAAGTCGGTCGGGGGAGCGATGTCTGGGAGGCTGGCGTTTGTAGGACGTTGGTATAGATTGTCTTCAGGGCAGCCAATACAGCTCCGAACATTGTGAGGACGAAGCCGGCGTAAGTGAAGTAGTAGTCTCCGAATGTTCTG